TCCCCTGGTTTTTCGCTTGCCGCTTTTCCGCTTGTAGCTTCATGTTCCGTCTCCAGGGGCAGCAGATTGAGATGTGTGCGGAGCCACGGCTGCGGGAGCAAGACTTCGGCAACTTCCAGGAGTGGACAGGGTCGTGGCGACGAGTCTTCGGATGAGAGAGGGTCTATGTGGTCCAGTTGGGTAAGCGGGAGGAGTGGGTTTGCAGGTTTGAAGGGAGTCCATAGGAGTCATGCAGGTGGGGTCTATGTGTATCACATGTTTCCAGTTTCGTGGTGGTACTAGGTACCCTTCTTTCTTCACAAAAGGGATGCTAAACACATCAATACGATGTTTTGAAGCAATCTGGAGGCAACATATGCATCTACACCGACACCCAATCTTTTCTTGATCGGTGTTGCGCAGCTGCCTGTGTGGCCAGAGGACCGTCAGAGGATCTAAGGGGATTCATTCTCCAACACCTTCATCGATGGCCTACCAACCCCAAATCAAACCAGAACATTTCAGTTGGAGGTTTTGACATGTTTTGACTAGATCCTACCGGGATGCCGTAGAATGTCGGCTGGGGTTCTGCAAACAAAGCTAGGATGCCCAGCAGATGGAGTTGGTCTACAGAGAACGGCAGAAGTTCGGACGCTTCTACTACCGCTTCCCCAATGGCGAGGCCAGGACGGAAACCGAGAGAGTGGACGGAGGCGCTGGAAGAAGCAGTCCGGGAGAGTGTCCGTCAAAACCAGACCCCGACTCCGATGGATGGTATATGGGTGCGTATTTGAAGAGGGAGCCACCCTGGCACCCTGGCTGAGATCATCTGAGATCGCATCCTGTGTAGAAAAGTTCGCCTAGGCCCTGTACCTCAAGGCCACTGGACAGCTTCCTGCAACACCCCAACACCCTGCATACCCCAACACAACCAAAAAAGGCCACCAAAAACCTCGCGGCCGCTGGCGCAGAGAGCGCCAGCGGCCGCCGCAGAGAGCCCGTCACGACTCCCTCGTGTGACTCGCTCGACGTGAGGCAGGCACCGACGTCTTTGATCGCGTGAGCGACTTCTGGAGCAGCTTGTTGCGCTCCATGGACACGTCGCCGGTGGAAAACCTGGTGCTGGTCACGCACGGCGCCTGGGACGGTCCGGCGGTGAGGAATGGGAGAAGAGAAACATGGGGAACGAATGGGAAGTATAGTATAGGTGTTGGACGAGTCCATATATCGGAAACATCCACGGTTGATCGGATAAGATGGGGGAAAACGGCGAGGTGGACTCAAGAATGTCCTGGCTGGACTACCTGGCCCACTACTTATAGGGATTTCCACCACTGGACACCCAGACAGGAGGGTCTTGGTATACCTTCATATGCGGATTGTTCATGTGGACTGGGTCATCTTTGCGGACGAAGAGCAACGAAGAGCGAAGAAGCAGCACGACGTCTTTGCGGTTTGTTTGGCCATCGAAGCGGCATCAAGTTGCTCAACCAGTGAGGCTTGCTGATGCGGATCTTTTGCATGGTTTATTTTCACTGGACAGTGGAGGAGTTTGAAGAAGAGACTTGGCTAGGACTTGGGGCACCTTGGAATATCCGTCGCCTTCGTGACAAACTTTCCATGCGCGGACTCTGAGCAGATTGCCAAATCCCTACCCCTGACTTGGACATGATTCTATCCTAGGCTTGGGGCATAGGGGCATTGTTCAGGATCTCTCCAAGGCATTCTGGAAGCACCACCACGCACACCCCTAAAGTCAAAAGCACGATATCAAACTTCACACATCGAAGAATCGCAAAAACTGCTTGCGAGTTGTCATGTCCAAGCAAAAACAAACTACCGGGACCTTCCTAACAGATGGTGTTTGGACCGGTTTATGGGCACCTGTTCGCTATCACCTGGAAACCCAGTCTTTGCTCCTGGCTGTTGAAGTACAGCGACTTCAAGGCCTTCAACACACCAACTCAACACATGCCCAAAAGACCAGGAACCTCCAAGCGAGCCGCCTCAATGCCCTTTGGTGCACCCCGGTGTGGGCCCTTTTGCTTCAATCGCCAGGTCTGGAACCCTTCGAACTGCGAAGTTTGGGCTTTGGAGACTCGGAGGGTACTGGACGTTGGGCTTTCCAAGTGTGTGGGAGGGAAGTGTTTTTGTTAAACAGATCCACTTACTGCGCTGGGGTTTCATAAATGTATCTCATATGATCTTATATATATATACTATTTATACATATGATCAAAATTAGTTTTAAACATACTATACATACACTCACCATCACTCACCCTTCCTTCTGGATCTTTTTGGGAATTCTGGACACCTCGAAAGAACCGCCCTTGGTGGACACCGTCGTTCCCGCATCGTCAGGACGATGCCGGACTGAACTGACCCGATCTTCTCACTGATTTTAACATGAGGTTCATCCAGAGGACGAAGACTCCCAAAAGGATCCCAAAGGATTCCCTTTTTGTGATGTTCAAGTTGGGGAGGCCTCCAATGAGATTGGATGGAGAAAACCGACGTTTCCTGAAACAACTTGCAACACTTGGAAAACTGCTGGGAGGCTCCCTACTTGAAGAATTCCATCATGGGAGCAGCAAAGATCCCTCCCCAACAGCCATCTCTTGCATTCTCTTTCTTATTGTGACGTAGCCTTCCAAGACTATTTTTGAAATGGTTGACCTGGTCTTATAGTACAACATCCATAAATTGTTGTGTTCGGTAAACATTGTTATACAAATAATCGATCAATTCGGTGGTTGGAAGCCTTGTGCGCGAGCATCCGATAATCCGACTTATTGCAAGGGGCTGCATATGTACGGGGCGTTCTCCTTGTGCTTATCAGATGTGAAGATTCATTCATTTTTACAACAGTCGAGGCGTGCGTATCAACACATGGGGTGCACACGGACTCCTTGGGCCCCTGATGGTCCCGGTTAGGCGGTTGGACGTGTTATTTTGTTTTCAGGTGAGGCGGTCAGTGTCACCGATACCCGTGGAGGTTTATGTCTAGTCATAATTTATAAATATAGTAGTAAAGGTTATCACATTATAAAAGTAGGTTTATAATACAGTAAAGAAAGGCTTACAAGAAAGAATCTAATAGAAACCAAAGAACAAAAAAAACCACATGTCGCGTTTTGGGTCCCTGGCAGGAGGTTGTTTTGTTTTTCGTGAGTCCCATTTGAAGGGCTGACACAGATGCCTAACACCAAGTCAGCCAAAATGCAATCCCTTGTTGTTTGCTTCTACACGCTTCGACATAGGGCTCATAGCTTCAGTACACAACAGTGCCCCTGTCACAACATGCAGCATGGCAAAACCTTTTACAACCGATACTTCACAACCGATGATGTGCATCATGACAAGACGCCCAGATCGGTCGTCAAACGCCCACATGGATACGACCATGGGAGACATGGTCCAAGTCTTGCACAATGGGTGTCCAAAGGAGATCCGAACAAAAGGTGCCCTAGGCCCGTGTAGGGTGGTCCAGAAAGGAGCCTGGTTGGTATCTGAATGCACGCCCTTTTGAACGCTTTTGATCTGCAGAGCAAAGCGGAGCTGCTGTTGCTCAGCATCATCCCTTCGTCTCAGTGACCTGCATTGTGCTCGTTCCCAAGGAAAAGAACTTCAACGTGGGGGGCTATAGCAATTACCGCCTCGCTGGCCGCTGGCGCCCCAGCCCCCTGGGGGGGCAGCTTCCGGGAGATCCGCTTTGGAGAGAAGAGGAATCAACCGCTCTGGAACCACATGAAAAGCCGCAGAGGTCCAAGGCGCAGCCTTTTTTTGGGTGTCGGCGTGTGTGCCCCTGTGTCCTCACCGCCTCAGCGTGACGTGCGCATTCCATGTACTAAGACTTCATTAATCATTAGCTGTTCATTGGAATGGTACAGTCGGAAATTTCACTGTTTTGGTAATGGTGTTTAAGTTTAGTTCTTGGTAAGTTTCATCTTGTTGCGCCGCCTCAAGCCATGCAACTACTGATTTATTTATACTGATATATACTATATTATTTACACTGTCCATGTGCCCAGTGCTTGTGACGTTTGGCTCGCCTTAGAAATGCACGTCCTTTCCAAGTGCACGTCCGTGGCCCCCCCAACTCGTCGGGCGGTCGAGTGTGTCGAGCGCCTGAGGGTATTGACACCTGGAGATGAAAGCATCCTGGATGACCCCATGTATGCGCACCTGGCACCTGATGAGGGCCCAAAGACATAGCGCTGGCCGAACGGCCGCCGTTTTAGACATGAGCGCACCCCCGTTGTTCGCGGCGTCCGATCGGCGGTGCGTCCCTGATGGGTGGAAGGTGATCAACGAGAATCGAAGAATTGGCTCTTCCACAACAACATCCGCCTTCAAAGAGTATTTGACCAAATGTTTGACTCGGTTTGCGTAAAATCCTTCGTAATACAATGGTTAGTTATGGTTAGTTGTTCGGTATAAATACATTTGAATCAATGGGGTGTTTGGAAGGCTAGGGAAACTGTTTGTATGTGGACATGTGCCAACATACGGATCAATCTGAAACATCTTGCAACGGACGCGAAACCATGATTTGTGCAATCTGGTTTGATGCTTAGCCGTCCATAGCTGTTTCATGCTGTTTCCATCCGTCGTCGTGGCGTCGCGTCGCTTGGGGGGGTAGATGAACACCCATGCGCCACGTAGTTGACCTGCGACCGAAACCGGTCGTGGAGGGAACACCGAAACCCGCTGTCGAGTGCACATGGCGAGAAACAAGTCGTCCGCCGGGCGTATGGCAGGGAAAGAAGGCGCTGACAAGTCTTCCGGGTTTATAGTGGCATGTCTGATCTTGGTAGGGTCTGACAAGTCTTGGTTTGACAAGGTTTTTGGTGGCTTTTGGTTTGATCTGATCTTGGTAGAACCCCTGTGCCTTTCAGGCCTTGAGTTCAGGACCTTCGGACTGGCGCGGCGGCGCCGCAGTGTCCCGTGCTGCTTTCGGTCCGCATGGACCGACCCCCTGTGGTTCCGGGACCGTTTCTCAGCTCTCCACCGGCCAGGCATCAGAGCTGGGCCCGGGACAACGCGTGCGTGGAAGCTCGGAAGTGACGAACAGGTCACCCAGCGGGTGAGTTGAACAGCTGTTGTTTGGGTCCCCTCCTCTTCTTGGTTCTTCTTTGAACATTTAGAGGACCAGAGGACCTTCCAACAGGTCACCCATTGAGAGCTCAGACAGGGCCTAACAACATCTAACAACCAACCCTCCACAGGAGACCTGTTGGACCCCTCCTGTCTGGGTGTCCTGGCTGGAGATCCCCAGTCGTAGTGCAGGGTAGTCCAGCCAGGACACCCAAACAGGATGGTCCAGGTAGTTTTGAGAACTTGTGGAGCCTTTTTCCTCGTATGTATGGTCCAGTATATTCCAGTATACGTAGTGTAATGCACTGTTGGCTGTTGATTGAATAAATATTCTACCAGGCTGGCTTTCCATATTATATAGAGGTGCTTTGTTCATCAACGGTCTGGTGTCTTTTGCTGCTCAGCTGGGATCCTCCTGCTATACCCGAAGAGAGGATCGGTTTTCGCGCGTTGAATAACCGTCGGTTCGTTGTGACGCACGTCCCTTGGGGACTTGCGTTCGTTCGCTCCCGCTTCGCCTCAGCGGAAAGACACCAATAAAGACCCAAGCAACATGGAATCGAGACACATAGGTTCCGTCTCATGTTCTGAACACTTCCGAACATACATCAGAACAACTAAAGATGGAGTGAAGATGGGAGCAGAGACAAGATGGAACATCATGTCCGGCGAAAGGATTGTGAACTACTTTGGATGTCATATGACATATATGATGTCATCAAATTGCAACACCCCACATGCAGGAAAGTAATCTTCGCATGTCCGTTTTGCCAGAAGGATGCTCCATCGACCGTCAAAAATGCAATTTCGGAAGAACACAAAGGATCACCCTGCAGATGGAGAACCGTTCAACCGTTCAAATGTGTTTCATCTCAGGTTGTCTCTCCCACAACGGCACGAAAGCGATGACAGACCGATAACAACAACGCAGCGAGGCAACCAAAAAAACGTCAACCGGACACGATCAGGTTATGCAACCCAGACACATATATAGATTATATAGGCTTTTATTGATACCTTATATATGTATATCTAGCTGTGCTAGACTGAATTGTGCGTTCTGGCGTCATGTTTGCCGATTCGGTGAACACCTCAGTCGACTGAGGTTGGGCTCTCCACGGCCGGATCGACGAGCAGACAAGGTAGGACGACCGGAGCACGTGATGGTGGGCAGATGAAAGAGGTCCTGAAACACGGAGTGTTCTCCATGCAAGATGGTGGCTTCATTGGTGATGCTTTTCGCAGGTGTCAAGGGTTCATTCTAGTTCATGGCCTTGGCATGCTTTGTCTAAACATTGGGAGCTTTGTCTAAACCACTGGGTTTGGGTCTCCTTCTTCACATCGCGACGGGGGTCTCCAGCTTCCAGCGATCCTCGGTTTTTTTCACAGATCGCCGCCTCCAGCTGGCGGTCGCGGAGTTTCCTAAGTGTGTCGGAGGGTATGTTTTTCTTCTTTTCACGTGTGAAAGCCGTGGTGCACCGTAGAGTCGACACACCAGTGGGGTTTGGTCCCCCGCAAACGTCGGGCGTTTCACTGGCGAGGTGGAAGTCTCCAGTGATGAAGAGCCGGCGCCAAGTTTGACAAAGGTCCACTGGACGCGGAATTCTGCGCGGATGGACTTTGCATGCCTCTGCTGTTTGTGCTTTTTTCGGGGATTTCCCAAGCTTTTGGGCCATTCTCGATCGCCCCGAAGCAGTTCCGAAGCAGTTCGCCGCTGGAATGTTCTGCTGGGGGCTTGGTGAGACGAGGTAAAAGGAGCCGAGGTAAAGCTCGGCAAGTTGTCTGGGAGGTGTCAGCAAGGAGTTGTTGGACAAGCTGCTCATGACAGATGGACACAGATAATTAAAGACCTAAGGCCATCTAAGGCCTAAAGTTCAGTTTATTAGGCGAGACTAAACGCATATAACTTAATTGTTGAATTCGAGCTATTTGATGTTTTTCTGTAGACTTAAACAAAGCACCCATGACACGTGCCCTTTTTCCTTTTCCTCCATACATATATATATATATATATACAGATATATATATGTATATATATATGTATATATTATATATATGTATATATTATATATACATGATCAATCAGCCTCGGAGGGACTCCCGACACCACACCCACGTGGCCACCGTGGCCGACACGTGGCCACCGCCACCGCTCGGAAGGCCAACGTCGCTCGCTTCAGTGCCGCTGCAGCGGCCGCCGCCGGGGTGGTGGAGACTCGTCGACGCAACGGTGGTTGTACCGTAGCTACGCCGGTAGCCTTCCGGTCGCCAAGCATTGATCCTTTTTTTAGGGCTGAATCTGGAAGAACCAGCTGTTTTACATTGTTTTACTACGGATTTTACATTACAATTAGCATTAATTAACACTATAAACCCACGTCAACCATGTCTTAAAGGGTCTTTGAAGGCTAGGGTGTATGTCGTATTTGGTGGCTACTGTATAGTTGTAACATGATGGTGTCTGTAGAGGGCACTTTTTCGATAGACTCCAGCGATGAAAGCCACCTAGATCAAGGCGTGTGCAACCAGTGCCATTGAAACATATTGAAACCACATTTAGACGGCAGGGTTTCTACATGGTTTTAGAGTTGCATATTACATATTGATCGTAGTAGTACCTAAAAGGTTTGCAATTGACTCCATTCTTCTGTTGATCGAAACTTCCAGAACTATCCCAATGTCTAGGATCACCCCCCCAAAAAAGAAGAGTCGCACCAGAATACACCAGATACGCAACCCTTCACTGACTATTGACATCTGACGATATATACTTCTTTTCGGTTTTTCGGCACGGAACACATGCTGCGGCCTGAAGACCATGCTGGCAGCCGCAAAAAGGAGCCGCCGGACGTGGATCCAGACATTGGCAGCGTCTCCCCCATCTCCACGCCCCTTGGAACCGAACCGAACGGAGCGGAGCGGAGCGGAGTCCCACACGGCGGGTTGGGGTTCTTCGGGGCCGAAGAAGTCGTGAAGGGAAGCAGATGCTTTTTTAAGATGTCATGGCTCAATGAAGGCAAGCATCTAATATATATATATATGCTCAAAGAAGACGGTCTACATGCGTAGCTCATCCAAGGGTGCATGGATTATATAGGTCCTGTGTTTCGAATTCCCAAACTGTTGAATCTTGTGTGGAGTTCAAGTCTTACCTCAAGTCTGACTTCACTCGTACTCTGATCCCAGAAGCATCCAGAACCTGGAATTCTGAATTCATGACTGCTCTTCGGTGGTCGGCGCTGGTCGTCCATGCGTCGCCTGAAACGATCTCACCTAGGCCGGGCGTTTTCCCATGGCAAGCTGAAAAGAAGGTCCGGAGACGGAGAGGGTTTCAACCAGGTTATCTCCATTTATCTCCAGTATAGAGAGGACCAATTGATAGCATTTGACATTTGAGAACCAAGTACTTTGATGTACCTTGCTCAAAAATTATCGAGGTTTCTTGAAACAGCCGCATGCAGCATGCTTTTGATGTAGGTGAGAGATGGTCTTTCAAGAACACACTTAATTTTTTTAATCACGTTTATATATGTCTTTTTAACGAGGCCAGTGTCAGTCTCTTGATATCGCTTTAAAGCACTTGTCATCGACTTAATTGTTCGACAGGTTCTTTCCACTACAAATAAAGTTCATCCGGGCGCACTCACGGGTACTAATGGACAATGGAACGTGTTTTGTGGGCGAGCCTCCGTCTACGAGTCGTTTTTGTAGGGCTATTCAATGGGTACTGTAGTTGTTGTATTTCATTGTATATCATGAGATATCATGTCATGCAGAACCCAACCAATACACTATCATACTATGATGTATACCAATACTCATCCCGCACCGTCCGATTCTTCGGACGTTCGGACCTTCGGACCTTGGTGTGTTGTTCGGCCCTACCTTCTCTTCTCGGTTGCTGTTGTGAGTTTGGACACCGCATGAGACGCTGGAACCACATGATGAATGTTAGACGTATTTAGAAGTCAAGCCCTGCCGTAGGGCCGTAGTAGGGTGTTTTGTCCTCAGATGAGGCATCGACTTCGACACTGGAATTGCCAGAATAGCCACCCAATAGATATGCCTCGCAACCCCCTGTCCAGCTTTTTGTTTAAAGATGTTTAAAGACTTCCCCCGCACCCCTTTGACTTGCTGAGTGTAGTAAAGGGATGTGTTGCTGAGCTATGCAGCTGGTTGAGCTAAGCAGCTGGTGACTTTTGACTTGGGACCACAGAACATCTCGAGGACCATTCCGAATGAGAGAACTTGGTGGTCAAATCGCTTGATTTTGCATGCTGGATCAGGGTAAGCCTCGGTGGTTTCTTGCCTTCTTTGGTGCATCAGTGGAGATGTCCAACAAAACCATCAAATATGAGTGCTCCATTACCCATCACTTTGCCACATTGGGGTTTGGGGTTTGGGGTTAGGTCCTATGGTCCTTGACCATCTGAAAAGGGGTCACGGCGTAGACTCCACGAGTAACTCGCCCCGTGTCAGACGACCAAGAAGAAGAGGCGCGCCTTTTTTCTCGCCGAACGATCGCTTTGACGGGTGTTTTCCACAGTTGGGTTGTGGAGTTGGGTGTTGTTTGACGTGTTGTTCATGCTGAAGATGAATCATGGTCATGTTCGTTGGAACCTGAGTCCCTGCCAAGATGGTCAACAACCCGATGTGACACAATCGGCCCCTCTTTCCCAAAGCTGCTTTCGCGGCGACGATCGCGGCCCCTGCACAGGTCCGGTGGTCCAACAGCCGTGTCTCTGACCCCAACAGATCAAGGGGACTTGGGGGGAGCTCAACAAGATCGCACCTCCCACACAGAACTTGCGCATCTCTGGAGGATTGACTTGACACCAAGATCTAAAGCCTCCCAAAAACCGGAGGCTGAACCTCTTTTGGTCGACTCGTCTCGGGAGAGGCGGAACCGGTTGTTGGGACAACGAGCGTGACCGCAGGGCAGATTCACCACGGAGCACCCAGGTGCGATGGGGGGGACTGGTGGAAGGCTGCCTGTGCTTCGTGCTTTGTGATCTACCAGTCGGTCTTGATCTAATAGTAGCCATATTATGCTTAGAACCAAGATGAACCTCAGAACATCTCAGAACCAAGTGATATCATTGCCAACTAAGCAACGGACAAAGTCCTGGTTCTGTTGGCCACCCAGGAATTGAATGGGATTTATCAAGCCCAGACACTCCTTTGTACCGGTATGTTTACATGGGGACCGTTCCAGGCCAGTGTACTGTAGGTATATATCGCATCTACCCTTTGGTTCATACTGGCCTAAGGGACTACTACATTTTATAACCAAACCCCTACAGGTCAAACCCTTAGCGGAAGATCTAAGGACAGGCAAGGAATCCATGGAGTGTTTGTCCGATGCTTTTTCCTCAGGTCACTAGGTCACTGGGTGAGTTCTTGGTGAGTTCAGGCAGCGCTTGTTCCGCTCAAGCGGAACAAGCGGACGCTCCCTAAAGCCGCTGGTTAGAAAGGAAAACCCAACAGCTTGGGGAGCCCAACAGCTTTGGTGGCACAAGAGCACGACTCAACAGTGGCAGACGTGGTATTGATTGGTAATGGCACTGCAAGACAGGACCGCTATTATCCGCCAGGCTCATAAGAAGCGTAAAGGAGATGCTGGGAAGTCGAAGGCGATGATGGTGGGATCGTGGGATGGTAGGATGATAGCAAATCCAACGATGCATGGAGGGAGGGCGGGTTCGAAGAGCATACGTCTTTCTTGGAATGAGTTGTCGACCCAAAAGCGTCCCAAATGCTGAAAGTTTCATACTTGACCTCGGTCCTCCGAGCTCCAAAAGCATTTTCCATTTTCGCTTGGGTACTACCAATGATGTACTATGCTTATCCATGCTCATCCATGACTATATATATATACATACAAGTAGTTCCCGGGCAAGCCGGCGGCGGAAGTTTCCTATAAGAAGAAACTGACCTATAGGAGTGTCCACGTTCTCTCCAACATGCGCGTCCTCCAGTCAAACGCACGCGCTCCGGACTTTTGACCCACGGGATTCCACGTGTGTAAGGTGTGTGTGCCCCCTGCGAGAGATGACACACATCCGGCCACCACGACTTGCCAAGGATGCGGTCCACATCGACACACATCCCACCGTGGCATTCTTCAGTGGCGGCAAACCTTGCATACCACACATCGGACTGAATGGAATCCGAATTTGAATGTAAAATCTGTCTTGAACTCTGAGACTATGTATGATGAGTCTTGTATGATGAGGGGTGTATGACAAGTGATGAATGATGAGTGGTGTATGTTGAGTGGTGTATGACGAGTGGTGTATGATGAGTGGTGTCTTGACCAGCAGTTGAATGTCCTGTCCTGCATAACTGCAACCAAATACTATCAGTATGAACTGAACGTGCACGCCGCGAGAGATGACTCAGCAGCGAGAGATGACTCAGTCGCGAGAGATGACTCAGCCGCCAGAGATGGCTATAGCGAGAGCTGACTCAGCAGCGAGAGATGAATGAGCAGCGAGAGATGACTCCTCCGCGTACTACACTGTTCGCCAGTACAACTCTAGTTGTACTACGAAGTCGCCAGTCCTCAGCTTCTAGCTGCACAGATTGCTCCGCGTGCTGAAGTTGTACTACAAAGTCGCCAGTTCTCATCGTCCAGCTTGCCAGATACTCCGCGTGCTAAAGTTGTACTACAAAGTCGCCAGTTCTCAGCTTCCAGCTCTACAGATTG